TATGACCCGGTAATCCTACACCTAGATATTTACCCAAGAGAAATAAAAACATTGTATATATAGCAAATTGTGACTATACATTTTTCAAAACTCATCACATTGTACAACTAAAAGGGCAAATTTTACTATCTGTAATTTATACCTCAAAAAACCTGAATTATAACATCCTTTGATGATATAAACTTTGAACAAAGTGGGTACTGAAGGAACACACCTCAGCATAACAAAAGCCATATATGTCAAGGCCACATTAACATCCTCCTCAGTGGTGAAAGGAGAACAACTTTTCCTCTAAGATCAGGAACACGACAGAGTGCCCACTCTCACCACTCCTATTCAACACGTACTGGAAGTCCTAGCCAGAGCAATTAGGCAAGAAAAATAATTAAAAGCCAACCCAATCAGAAAGAAAGAAGTAAAACTGTCTCTGTTTGCAGATGAGCTGATCTTATATGTAGAAAACCCTAAAAACTCCGCCAAAAAAAACCCAAAACTGAACTAATAAGTGAACCCAGTAAAGTTTCAGGATACAAACTCAATAACAGAGATGAGTTGTGTTTCTATACACTAACAACTATCTGAAAAAGAAAGAAATAAAACAATCCCATTTCCAATCGCATCAAAAACAGTAAAATATTTAGGAATGAATTTACCCAAGGAGGTGAAAGATCTGTACTCTGAAAACATCAAAAGGACACCGATGAAAGAAATTGAAGAAGACACAAACGAGCTCCATGCTCATGGCTCAGAAGAGTTAATATTGTTAAAGTGTCATACAACCCAAGGCCGTCTATAGATTCAGTGCAGTCCTATCATGTTCTAATGGCATTTTTCACAGAAATAGAAAAAACAACCCTAAAAGTTGTATGGAACCACAAAAGATTCCAGATAGCCAGGGCAATCTTAGGAAAGAACAAAGCTAGAGGCATCACATGTTCCGATTTCAAACAATATTACAAAGCTATAGCAATCAAAACAGCATGGCACTGGCATAAATATAGACACAGAGTAACAGAACAGAATGGAGAGCCCAGAAATAAACTCTTGCATGTGCGATCAACTAATGTTTGACATGGGAGCCAAAAACACTCAACAGGAAAAGGATAGTCTCTTCAATAAATGGTGCGGGAAAAACAATATTCACATGCAAAAGAATAAAATTGGACCCTATCTTAACAAAAATTAACTCTTAGACATAAAACCTGAAGCCATAAAACCTCTAGAAGAAAACATAGGGAAAAGCTCCTTGACATTGGCCTTGGCAATGGTATTTTGGATGTGACACCAAAAGCACACCCAACAAAAGCAAAAATCAACATGGGGTACTACGTCAAACTTCTGGACAAAGGGAATCATCAACAAAATGGAAAGACAACCTAGTAGGTTGTCTGGGAGAAGATATCTGCAAACCACCTATCTGATATAGGAACTCACACATATATAAAGAACTCATACAACTCAATAGTAAAAAAAATAACCTGATTAAAACATGGGCCAAGGACCTGGATAGATAATTTTTCCAAAGAAGACATGCAAATGGCCAAGTACATGAAAAGGGGCTCAACATTACTAAATATCAGGGAAATGCAAATCAAAACCACAGTGAGATACCAGCTCACACCTGTCAGAATGGCCATCATCAAAAAGACAAGAGGTAACAGGTGTTGGCGAGGATGTGGAGAAAAGGGAACCCTGGTGTACTGTTGGTGAGAATGTAAATTGGTGCAGCCACTATGGAAAACAGTATGGAGGTTCCTCAAAAAATTAAAAACAAAACTACCATATGACCCAGCAATTCCATTTTGGGGTATTTACCTGAAGGAAATGAAATCACTTCTCAGATAGACATCTGCACCCCCATGTTCATTGCAGCATTATTCACAACAGCCAAGACATGGACACAACCTAAATGTCCGTCAACAGATGAAGGGATAAGACGTGGTATGTACACACACACACACACACACACACACACACACTCACAGAGGAGTATTATTTAGCCATGAGAAAGAAGGACATGCTGCCGTTTGTGACAATATGGATAAATCTGGAGGGAGTTACGCTAAGTAGGATTAAGTCAGAGAATGACAGATACTGTGTGGGTTCATTTATACATAGAATCTCAAAAAGTCGCATTCATAGAAACAGGGTAGAATGGTGTTTGTCAGGGGCTGGCGGGTGGAGGAGATGGGATGTTGGGCAAAGCATATAAACTTCCAGTTAAGAGATGAGTAAGTTCTGGGAATCAAATACACAGCACGGTGGCATCCTGAAACTTGCTAGGAGCGTAGATCTTTAATGTTCTCACCACCACAACGAAAGGCGGTAATTATGTGAGGTGACAAAGGTGGTAATTAACCTTATTGTAGTGGCCATTTCACGGTATGTATGTGTATCAAATCATCACATACATTTTAATACAGTGTTATATGTTAATTACACCTCAAGAAAACACCTAAAATTTAAAAACACCTAGAAGACAACTTAGACCTCCAAATCAGGGACTCTAATAAAATTTTTAAAAAGTACTTTTAATTACAAAACTTCTTCTACTCCTAACAAACTGGGTTTAAAAAAAAAAAATTAAGTGCTGTGTATTTCATCTTTGTTGCCCTGTAAACGTTCTCTCTTTGTAGGTTTCATAAAGAACATATCAGCACTCTAGAGCATGAATACAATTCACAAACCAATAGACACATGTATTGGGGGCACACACTCAAGCAGGGCTCACAGAGGATCTCCACCAGCAAAATGGGGAGCAGGGCCTCCCCGAGGGGCCCCCTCTTAAAGGTTCTTGAGCTCGCGAAGAGAGGAAAACGAAGCTGGTTAATATTTTGCCCTTTTCCCCCTAGGCCAGGGGTCAGCCCCATGGCGTCCAGGCCAAACCTGGCCTCTGCCCGTCCTTGTAGGGACGCACCACGCCCACCATCCACGACTGGTCTTGCTGCTTCAGAACTGCCATGCACAGACCAGACCCTCCGACGCCCAAAGCCTGGCCCGTTACAGAAGCGGCCTGCGGACCCCTGGGCCGCCGCAGGGAGGCTGTGGCCTGGAAACCTTCGCAGCAGGCCTGTTGGAAGCCCCGTGTGAAGTCCTAGTTAAGACCAGGGAGCCGGTTGTGCTGGGCAGGGGAGGGGGCTCTACTTCAGAAAAGTCAGTCCCCACAGAACGTGACCTGTCCCCGGCACCGCCAGGTACGTGTGTTTCTGTATTTAGTCAGGAGGCCGGTTCGTCCCCACAGGACCACACCCTTGGAAATCAGGGTCCTTCCGCCTCTGGGCAGAAGGATCAGGGAAGAGACCCATTGGGCAAAGCCCTGCAGGGTTGCGGGGACTCAGCCTGGGACAAGGCCCGGGGGTGGGGGCTGCAGAAAGGACTCAGGGGCCAGGCGGGCTGGTCAAGGGTGCAGGAGGAGGGGAACCTCTTTTAGCATTCAAGATTTAGGGGGGCTGGACTAAGGGAAGCACAGAATCTCAGATTCAGCTGGGGGTTTGGGACATACTGAGGTCTTTACAAATAATGGTGATGAAGGGCACACCGCCTGGTCCAGTGTGGGGACCAGCACGCCCTTCCTGTCCCCAACCCTGCATGTGTCCCGTCGCCAGGAGCCTGGGAGTGTCCTAGAGCTGGCCCTCCCTCCTACCTGGTGAGGAGGTGCAGAGCCCAGAGCCACTGAGTCAGGGAGGCCCAGACCACAGGAGCAGGGCAAGCCCCAGCCCAGCACTCGCTCGGCTGGACGGCCGGACCGGACAAACCGGCTGCATGGGGGAGCTGTGGGGGAGCAGGGCCTTCATTCGTCCTTGAACTTTGCTCCAGGAAAGTGTCGTTTTCAATTCAGACGTCTTTCGTTTTACAGCAGGCTCTTTAAATGCAGAGATGGTTTTAATTATGGCCAAGGAGTAACTAACCAGAGCTGTAGCCCCCCACCCATCCCCCCTGACTGAGGACTCCACTCCCCTCTGAGTGGAGTCCTGGGAGGGAGGGCTGGCCCTCAACATCCAAAAATGTCAGCGAGGCCCCGGGTGAGTGGCTGGCGAGTGGCCACAGCCGGGGGTCAAGCATGAATGCTGCTGTGAGGATGTGGTGCTTCTGCGTGGGGCCATTTTTGGTGACTTTCTGGGGACAGAATTATGCCTGGCTTGCTGGCATAGACTCGGACAGAGGGAAGGATCTGTGGCCGTGATGGTGACCTGAAAGAGGCGAGGCGGCAGCCGGGACCCTGAAAGGGGGAGATGGCAAAGTCCGCAGCCCTGCTCCGAGGCTGGGCGGCAGGCAGCGGGGTGCCTGTGAGTTCACCTCACTGCCGGCAAATCCCCGGCCTCGTTTAGTGTCCTTCACACCCTCGCCTCAGAGGCCGCTTTTCTTTTCTCCTTTTTTATTGTGATTTTTATAATATACAAAACAAAGTTTACCATCTTGGCCATTTTAAAGTGAACCATTCAGTGGCGTTTGGTGCATTCACCGTGTCGTGCCACCATCAACTGTCTAGTTTTAGAACATTTTCATCGCCCCCAAAGGAAGCCCCGTCCCCATGAGCAGTCACTCCCCATGCCCCTCCCCCAGCCCCCGACAACCACTAATCCACCCTCTGTCTCTATGGATTTGCCCATTCTGGACATTTCCTATAAATGGAATCACACCATATGTGGCTGTGGCTTTTGAAAATACCGTATATCATGTTTTAAAAGATTTCTCTTCCCAGTTAAAAACCGGGCAAAAGACCTAAACAGACACCTCACCAAAGAGGATATACAGATGACAAGTATATGAAAAGGTGTTCCACATATGTCATCAGGGAAATGCAAATGAAAACAGCAGTGAGAGGCCACCATGCGCCTCTGAGAATGGCCAAAGCCCAGAACACTGACCATGCCCAGCCTGGCCAGGACGCGGGGCGGGACCTCTCACTCTCTGCTGGTGGGGAGGCAGCTGGCACAGCCATTTCGGGGGACAGTTTGGCGGTTCCTTACACACTAACATACTCTCACCACGTGATCCAGCAATCATGCACCTCGGTATTTANCCATTGCACCGGACATCAGATTAGAGTACTTGGAGGGAGTCGCTTCCATCCTCCTCAAGTTCAAGCCAGACAAGTGGGGCAAAATGGTCGGAGCGGAGGAGAACCTGGCCTTATTCATGGAATTCTTTGAGAAGCCGAACGTCCTGGTTCTGGTGCTGACGCTCAACCCCTCCGGCATGATCATACCCTGCCTGGGCTTCCCGGCGTCCCTCAAGTCCAAAGGGGTTTACTTCATCAAGAAGACACCTGAGAACATCAGCAAGAGCAACTACAAGGACAGCCTGATCTATGGGGACGTCAGCTCCACACTTGTGGACCAGCTGATAGCCATCGTGGAGGAGGTGGGTGCATCCCGGTGGGCTGCACAGAGCCAGGGGGTCCAGAGCCCAGGAGCAGCAAGCTCTGTTCCTTGTACTTACAGTAACTGGCACCCCACAGGCCACCAGCATCAGCATGGCCTGGGAGCTGGTTAGAGATGCAGGTCAGGCCCCGCCCACCCAGGTGTTGAGACAGACCCGCCTTCTAGCACATGCACCTGGAGGCTGAGAGGCCCCAGGCCTCCCTGCGCGCTCTCTGTCTCTTTCCCTCTCTCTCTCTCTCTCTCTGTCTCTCTGTCTCTCCCTCTCTCTCTCTGTCTCTCTCTCTCTCTCTCTCTCTCTCTCTCTGTCTCCATGCCATTAGAACCTCTGTACTGGACTGGGTACAGTCCCTTCTCACAGCTGCAGACAGTGTGCACTCTTTGGGTCTGTGAAAGGGGGGTCACACCCCTGCCTGGTGAGAACTCAGGGCACAGTGGCCACTCAGCAGGGCCCGGGCCAGCCTCCCCTCGCATCTGAATGAGGGGCCTGGCAGGCCCAAAGCCGGGGCGCACATGAGCATCTGTTAGTAAGCGTGGGCTGCCATAACCAAGTGCCACAGTCCTGGAGGCTGGGAGCCCGAGACCAAGGCGTCGGCAGGGTTGTTCCTCCTGAGGCCTCTCTTCTTGGCTTGCGGATGGCTGTGTCCTCCCTGTGTCCTCACATGAGTNGTATTTAACCCCAATTAGTGGAGGACTGACTTCCACACAAAAACCTGCACACGGGTGTTTACAGCAGCTTGACTCAGAATCCCTAACACCTGAAAGGACCAAGACGTCCTCAGTAGGTGGACGGACAAATAGATTGTGGCACATCCAGACGAGGGAATATTATTCAGCGCTAAAAAGAAATGAGCTGTCAAGCCAGGAGGACGTGGAGGGCCCTTAAATGCACATTCCTAAATAAAGACGCCAGTCTGAAAAGGCTGCACATGTGTGATTCCGACTACCTGACATTCTGAGAAAGGTGGGACTATGGAGACAGTAAAAGGATCAGGGGCTGCAGGGTAGGGGAGGGAGTGAGCAGGCAGAGCACAGAGGATTTTTAGGGCAGTGAAGCTGCCCTGTAAGACACGAAAATGGTAGATCCATGCCACTTCACATTTGTCCAAACCCATAGAAGGTACGACTCCAAGGTGAACCCTCACGTAAACTGTGCACTTCACTTAGTAATAATATGTTGCTATTGGCTCATGAGTTGTAACAGACGTCCTACATGAATACAAAAGGTTAATAATAGGAAACAGTAGGTGCAGGGGGAGCGGGGAGAGGGGTGAGAGGGACGCTGTGCTTTCTGCCCCATTTTCCTGTAAACCTAAGACTGCTCCAAAAAGAAGGTCTATCACAGGGGAGAAAAATTTTAATTTGTCCCCCCACGTTTCTAAATTCTTCTGGCTGGATGGATAATAAAATGAACATGAGACAGATTAACGGGAGGAAGGAACCCGATTTAATGACGTGTGTACACGGGTGTTCCGTTAGAAGGTGGGCAGTTGAGGCTTATCTGGCATCTAAAGCTAAGGAGAAAGGCGGGGTGTGGTTGGGGCTTCAGAGGGCAGGGAGGCAGTTCCCATGGAGATGGACAAGCACAGGTCTGGTAAGTGAAGGCCTGCTGGGCCGTCTCTAAAGAGGGGGACGCGGACAGGACTGCGATCCGGGGGCTTTCCAGGCTCCCCGTCTGTCACACTAGTTTACATAAAGGTATAGACGCCTGTACCTCCCCTCCGAAAGCAAGTTGCCTATCGGAATGCTTTTAGGCAGTTGGAGACAGGTCAGAATTTCCTTCTGAGTCTTGGTTTCTTAAAAACAACAAGCTTAGGATAATCAATAGCCAAAAGGCATATTTTGGGGTGGCCTATTCTGCTTCCCCTCACTATTAATGAAAAAGAAAATCTCTCTGTCAGGTATTAAATAATTGGCTTGTTTTTCCAGTTTTATTCAAAGACACATGTAACTGCCTTTCAAAACTTGATAAAACTCCCTGCAGAGCATAGGCTCTGGCTCTTCTGTGAGCCTGTACCAGCTGCCTGGGGTAAGTGCACCATTTTCCTGTGGCTTTCCATAGCGTCAGCCATGGCTCCCGGTTCCGCCCTGGCCTCTGGCGCAGGGCTCCCCACGTGCCCGAGTCTCCCGGGCGTGGGGTTGAGAGTCTTCCTTTCCAGCGGTTTCCCAGGTGTCAGGTCAGAGGCCCACCCTTTGAGTTGGGGGCCCTGGGGTTTGAAAACCTTAAAATAAAGCTCTGCCAAGAAAGTGGTCCCTTGAGGGGCTGAACCAGCAGCATTTGATGAACTGGAAAATCAGATTCCAAACCTGGCCCCCACACTAATTACAAAATGCGTGGTCCCGATCAAGCCACCACCTCTCTGAAAACCACAGGGGGAGCCTTTTGGGCACCTGCCAGGTCCCGGGGCCTCAGCCAGCCCTGTCTCTTCTACTCTGGTCAGCACGACACTGACAACAACCTCAGGGCGTCCAGCTAGTGCCCCTGTGTCCGGGACTTTCCTGGTTTGGTTCTGAAAACCGAGGTCCTAGGCACACCGGGGCGGCTGGCCACCCTGCAAAAGAAAGATTCAAAAGACAGAAGGCTGCTGCGTTCCCAGTTCCTATTTCTTAAGGATTCAGGGACACAGGCCAGAGACGGGAACGTGCCCTGGGTGGCAAGCGCGCCCACCCTCCGCAGAGACTGACAGGAGACTCAGGAAAGGCCCCTCACCGCAACGGGGGTGCAGAGCTGGCCCTGCTTCCATCCCAGCGGATGACCCCCCACCCCCACTTGAGGGGCCTGCGGGATGCGGAGACAGCCCTGTCATACTGGAACGAATGTCCTTGGGGAAGATTTAGAGACAGACAGGCTGTGAGTCAAACCAGAGGCAGGAAATTTCATTTCCAGACCTGGTCCAAATTCTTCTTTCCTGACTCATTATGTTCAAAGTACATTTGTTTTGCAAACAAAGCGGAGAAGCCCCCCGCCCCCCAGCCAGAGGCCCAGCCCCCAGGG